ACATTTCTATTTTTTTTCACTATCTGGATCAGTAGGAACTCAGAGACTTAAAATATATATTGTTTTTGAGATATTAGTTATCTAAAAATGCAAAAGTAAAAAAATGATTCCGTAGTAAAAACAGGTTTTAGTTGAATAGAKTAAAATACTGTGATGCAGGGAAGTCCTCGGCATGAGTACAGGGAATAAATCACATTTCAGTGTTTGTTKACAACAGAGTGTAAATTTTTGCATGAGATGCTGCATTTTAAATTATATGCTTTTGAAGTTTTGCTGCACAATCCCAAGAAACATTTGAACCAGAACAATCCAGAGTTTGGTTTCAGAAGTGGGACTCTTCACATGGGAGAGGRCTGAAGGTGACTTCTGTGTTTTCTTGGAGGAGAACGTCGTATCGACACAGAGGCCTGGAAGAGACAAACACAGCTGTAAAGAAAAAAAAAGACGAAAGAAATGGAATGGCTCACCTGACGCTGGGTTATTTCCTGAAGGAAGAGCAATAACACTGTTTAAATCTGTGTGTTGCGTACTTTTTGACTTSCAGGTGCGTGAGCCGAACTCTGAGGAGTCGAAGGGTCCGTTTGGGCTGTAACACCTGCCCGGTGGTGAACATGATGGAGACCTTCTTCACCGACTGAACGTCTGAGTCAAACTGAGCCAACATTTTAGTTTCTGTGAACTTCCTGAACTCTGAAGCTTCGCTGGTGTGAAGAAAACACAAACATATGAAAGGTTATAGTTAAATATTAGCCTATTAAACAGAACTCATAATAAAAAAAAACAGAACCTACTGATCAATAGTTGCTACTGCTTCTTTATTTCCATCGAAGAGTTTAATCGTGATGTACCCCCAACGCTCAGACTTGTTCCAGATCATCACATCCACCTTGTAGTTTGTCTCTGGGTGGGCACAAAACATCTTTATACAAAAATATTTTTTGCACCAAATTTCCATTAGTTGTCTACCAAATAGCAGAGGAATCTGGCAAAACGTATGATGCAGATACAGATAAAGGAACTTTTTTTAACACAACGTTGGTGTTTTAACTAAATTTTGCATCCTAAAATTACTTAGAGGACACAAATCATGTTTTGCTGGTATAAAACTAAAATAAACTATATATTTAAAATAAATAAGGGTCTAAAAACTTTCTTCTGAAACACATTTGTTTCACTTTTCAGAACAATATAATTGAACTCAATTAACAACCTATTTTTGGGTGATTTTTTTTAAATATTGATGTTTTTTATTTAGAACCATGACTCTAAACTGGTGGGTCGTGGCTCAAAAGTGGGCCGTGGACTCATTTTCAGTGGGCTGTGGGCCTTTGCTTGTTCAAAACACYTTCAGAATAAACATTCTGGTAGTAATGCAGCCTTTTAGTTAAAGTTTGATTAAATGACCAAATATATTTAACATGACCCTGTTCAACATTTAATGAGTCGAGTCTTTCAAATGACTCATGTTGTGTTTATTTCATGTTTGCATGCAAGCATTCTTGAATTTGTTTWAAAAAAAGGCTGAAGTGATATGAAGAGATTTGCTGGTAAATAAACTACAGGCATTTGTGTATAAAACAGAATATTTCCCTTTTCAGTGTTGCCACTTGCTTATCGCTTCAGTTCATAATTAAACTCAGATAAAACTGCTGTTTTTTTATTGCAWACATTTAGGAAGTTTACAATTTTTTCTTGTTTCGAGATGAGATGGAACCTGAAGCTAGGCCAGGTTAAAAAAAACATTAATGTAGAACATGTTCTCACCTCTAGGTGGCAGCACACCCTAAATGAGTCACTTTATTAAGTTAATAAATTAAGTTGCCATTTTTAGATGCTTCTCATCTTTATCAGATATTTCTAATTATAGAGATGACTTACTGCAATATGGAGAGTCAGCATTTGTGGTGAAGAAGTATTTCTCCTGGTTCAATTTCAGCAGTTTGTCTTTCCACTGTATAACATCATAGCCTAAGAAAAGTAAAACAGATGAATCATTGACTTATCAAAAGATCATATAGCACTGTGCAAAAGTCTTCACTTTTCTCTCATTTCTGTATATTTTGATGAGTTTTCTTCTAATCCTTGGCGATAAAACAGTTTTAATGAATGTAACCTTCAGTCTTTGAAGGCTTACAGTCACAGCTTATCACAAAAACAAATTTTGTTCTAATTTCTTCAGTCAAATCTATAAAAAATACCAAAGTAAAGATGGTTTGATGGACCTAAAATGATATTTTAGTATAAAAGAAGTGAATCTCAAAGAGTTATATGATGCAGTGTAAAGGATGCTTGGTCACAGGTCTTCTGTGAGAGCCTTGCTGGATTTTTTCCCTGTTTRTTAAAAATATGACTTTCAGACACTGTAGACTTTAGGATTGGTCCTCCYTTTGTTCACTTTGTTTTTGTTCAGCACAATGACTGAAGTGAACATTAGTTAAAAAGCAGCCAAAATCCAAAGGAAATGGTTGAAAACTGTTTCTTGTCAAACCTAAGAATACCAGAAAGTCTGGCTCACTGCATGAAAAGAAATAAACGAGAAAACAAAACAAAATCATTACCCCAACCTCCCCATTAACTTCACAAGTGGAAAATCTCATTTTCACATGTAAAAAAATGTTTTTTT